AACACCACAATTTCCAAATTGTGGGACAATAAAGCGACTTTCTATTTTATTTTCTTATTCTAAGTGTAATCCTGACCCCAATCTTAACCAAAACTTAGCTCACATCACACTGTCCCTAAACTAAAAATTGGGGCTTTTTGTATTAGGGACATGGCTTTGGTCCCCATAAGGCCTATTGCTATAGAGAAGATTACCTGAAAAGGTTCTAAACCTGCTCATAAACCAGTGCAAAGACACACACACGTTTAGGCATGCTTTAACATGGTTAAAATTTGTTACTGATTAAAAGATATGAGAGAAGAAAAACAAGCACAAACAGATTTTACATCTAGTGTGGGTTACGGCATGCCACACTTTGCGACAAATCACAGAGATGACACTGAACAGTCAGTGTGAAGCCAAGATCAGAGTTTGATTTAAAGGCAGTTTTATGAGCTATAAGCTACAAAGAAAAGTCCTTCTTTGATCTTTGATCCAAACTATGTAGTCTGCTCCATTATTGATGGTATAGTTAGAAATAAATCTGGGAAACAACCTGTCAAAACAAGTTTCATTTTGCTGTCTTGATTTCAGCTTAAGGAGCTGAATCATCAAGCGGGTTATCGAGGACTGTGAACCTAAAGAGGTGAGATTTGACAGAAACAAACAAACGACTAGATCTCAGCGCCATGCTTTAGTCTGACCTGAGGTTCTTCCCCGATGCCCTGTATGCGGTTTACGCTCCCTCACTGCGGAAAGACACACCGTCCATGAAATACAGTGATCCTTTTGTTTGATGGTGGAAAGACGAGTGGAAACATCAACATTCAACGAAAAGGCTTTGGTTCCTTTAACTAAAAGCAAACTTAAGGTTTGCCTTCAGAGATATAATAAAAGGGTTTAGTCGTGGTATGATTGCATAAATAATCTCTTCTTTATAAAATTCTAAAAATCCAAATAAAAAAAAATAAAAAAATCCAAGCCAATTTAATGCCTAATATTAGTGACAAAAAATAATGGAGCAAAATCTGAGTTAGCCGGGTTTCTGCTAATCAAAGCAAGCGATTAATTAACTCTTATCTATTTCGCTTAACGCTTTCTGCCTCTATAAAGGTTTAAGTTTTGGCAGTTTATAAGCGTGACGATGTCTGGATGAAAAGGCATCAGCAACGACCTTAGAGAAGTGACCGCTGCCTTTTAATAATCCAGGAAGTGTTTTCATTCTAGTGTCAAACTACTTCTACACAGAGATAAAGATTACTCACAAATTAAAGCATCCGCTACCAAAAAAAAATAAAATAAAATCAATGAGTTACAGGTGAGACTCAGTAGACTTAAATTTTTAGCATGTTTAATTTTTAGTTTTATGACCAGACCTTCAGGAGAAAAATAAAGAAATACAAGGAAATGTTTTTTTTTTTTTTTTTTTTTAAGGGTTCAGCTTTCTAAACAGAATGAAAAAGGATGACCTGAGTATAACGCACCATCATCTTTGATGATTTATACTATAGGAGCTGTGATGGAAATCCAAGTAGGGTTGGACAATAATAAAAACACATTTCCTATATATCAATAAACATCATAATGATTACAGCACTGGTCACCGACTGACCTTCATAGATGTAGTTTTTGTGAGTTTTTTAAAATATTTTTCTACAGCAAATAATTCTTGAATGTTACATTACAGGGCTTTTATATATTTATATTTATATATGATCAAATAAATGTCATACTGGATTCTGTTGACATCTTTTTTGTGCAGTCTGTCTTGAGGCTCTCATTTTATTGATATCATATCAAATATTTCATAAAGGTCATTCTGTTGGAGCAGCTGAAGCTGCTGAAACCCTCCAACCAATCTACAACCACAAATCTGTGAAATAATCAAAGTGACACAACAGCGTAGTCAAAGTCCGGACCTCGGCACTTGATGAACAGCTGTCAGAATCATTTTCTATAATTCATGTTTTTACTAATTAAACCTAGTATTACCTACCTGTCACTTATTAAGTTTAATGATTTCCAAATAAGTGGTCCTCCTAAGTGTCAATCATTCTGGTGATATGTTTATGTAAGGCCATCCTACGTGCTCGTCCATAGTTAGCTATCTTTTTTTGCGCATGCCCACTTTCAGGAATTCATGTGTTGCGAGCTACGGTTTCAGACAGCCATTGAAGCTCGCATTTCTCTCCACGGTTCTTTGAAAATAGCCAAGGGTCTATGAAGTGTATGAGAAGAAAACAAAGGCCTCAGAAGAGGCAGATATATCCCAGAATGCTTTAAGCTTTCCTCGCAAAGCATTATGGGATTTGCTGCCACTGTCGCCATTAGCTGTTGCTTCCCAAACAGTGACGACTAATAACAAAGATGGTGCAGCCAGCACACAGTGGAGGAGGAGTTACGTAACCAACGGGAAGCAAAAAGCACTGATCATCTGACCAAACGGTCAATTAACTGAGTTCACTATAAAGTCCACTATATAGTACCCTCTCTATATAGTGATTGAAATAGGATCTTGCATGCTCTCGCACACATTTAATAGACCTTCCCTTTTGGGAGCAGGTACAGATTACCCTAGTAAACTAGCCCCACCCACCAGTGGCCAAAATCATTTTTGCCTGCGAGAGGTCTAGCTTCACAACACAGAGATGTGTGTATAATTTTTGGATGCAAAGCGGCCGAGGTTTTGAGGGCGTGACAACAAAGCTGCACAACGCTGGAGAAAGCACAACAAGGAAGATGGCAACAACTATTGAACAGTGGCATGCACTGCGGCGAGAATATTATACTTTAAAGCGTCACTATATGGTCCAATAACCCATTTAATGCGCAATTTAAAAGAATTTCCAAAGTTGAGAGGACTGCAGCAACCAGCGGACCTTCGAGGCTAACGGCATCCAGGGCTAACCGCAGCCCGTCTGCCTCTCCCGGCATAGTCGCGTGTGAAGGACCGCTGGCTCTGATGGTGATTTTTGACTCAGTTTTGGAATCAGTTTTGGGAGGATTAGATTTGGGGTTTTCGTTGAAACATGAGCAGGAAGAGGCTCTATGCCAGGGCCCAGGGGGCACCAAGGGGCCCTCAAGGACCACAAGGGGTGCCCTTAGAGTCTTCTGAAAAAAGAACAACTCAACAGTGAGCTACGTTTGAAATTTCATTGTATTCTGTTATAGAACATTTCATCATTTAATAATATATGGAATTTAAGCATTTATAGAGATTTCAAAATGAAAATGTCTAAAAGAAAATTATAAATTTAAAGAAACGATAAAGGTATGTTTATGATGTATGAAGTTTAGGTGAACGTTGACCCTTGCAATCAATTCATAGGTCAGTATTGGTAGCCCATCCTGTGACTCAGTGCCCCTGAATTAGCCCTCAACTGTAAAAAGGTTGGTGACCGCTGCTCTACGCTCATTTTTAAGAAGGACACATTCGCTGTTTTACAGACAGGCTGTTTGTTTACACTCCCCCAACAGCTTTCTGTCACGTGTCCTACGTAACAGTCAGTTGCGCTCATTGGTCAGTGCGTTGGCCAATAGGCACAGTCAAGGTTTGAAAAACAACGGGTTGTTCTCATCAACAATCTTCCGATGTCTCATTCATCGGGGCCAGACTAAATTACACATTTAATTAATCTCACATTTAGTCTGGCTTATCAGGCCAAGGATCCAGTGATGTCTCCTCAT